GCTGTGGAATAAAAAGAGCTGCTAAAAGTATAAACAACTGTGTTAAATCATTTTCATTTATTCAGAAGCCGCAGCGCTGCGCACCGATTTATTTTCAACTCAAATTATCTTCAAACTAACAAAATATAAAGTTATTAGTGAAGAAAACCCATCTGGATAACAGCAGACTGACTGCTGGTAGATTGTACTAAGATTGTACTATAATCTTGGAGCAGCAACACACAAAGCCTTGTCCCCTCTGAGCTTACATTTGGACGTCAGTACCAGTACCAGTAAAAAGTATAGTATCTGTGATGCACTGTTTTTACTTGGTATCTGAATGATACCAACAATTTTTAGTATTTCACACCCCTACCATGTGGGAGACTCCGAACTTCATGGAGGGATTCTTAATCCTTTCTGGCCTGGGAACACCTTCAGATCCTCTAGGGGGTGCTAGAGAGACTATTCTGGGTTTCCATCCTGAACTTGCTGCCTCCATCAAGGGTGTAAATTTAGGTCTATGGGGGGGGGGTTATGCTCTGCAACCCCGCATGTCATTTTTAGCAATAACGCTTAAAATGTAGATATATGACATTGTAATTTTTTTAATCAGGTCAAAGTTATATAGACAACAATAGAGTTGCATCTGTCTACTTAACCAGTTAATTTCTATTGCGTTTGAGCAAACAATGTCATTTTATGGGTGTGTGGGGGGGGGGGGGGGGGTATTTTGACTGGATCAAATTATTGTGGGGGTCATAACCCCCTTAACCCCCCAGCAAATTACACCTATGGCCTCCATGACCCCATTCACTGTAAAATCAAAGCATGATGCCTCTCAGCAAGAAGGTCGCCGGTTCAAATCCCGGCCTGGGGACCTTTCTGGGTAGTTTGTTCTCTCCATGCATGAGAGAGGTTCTCTCCAGGTACTCCGGCTTCCTCCCACAGACCAAAAACATGACTGTTAGGTTAATTGATAACTCTAAATTGCCCCTAGGTGTGAGTGAGAGAGTGAATGGTTGTTTGTCTCTGTGTGTGTCCCTGTGATGGACTTGCGACCTGTCCAGGGTGTACCCCGCCCCTCACACTGTGACTGCTGGATACGGTCACCAGTGACCCCCGTGACCCTGAAAGGAATAAGCGGGTACAGATAATGGATGGATGGATAAATGAATGGCTGTAGAGACAGATGGTCGGATGTATTAGTTGAATGCATGAATAGATGGTTGGATGAATACTAGTTTTGTAGCTTTTTAAAGTAATCTTTATTAAATCTGCTTGCGAAAAAAAAACTTTCCAGCAGCACAGATCAAGGACAGCGTCTGGATGTTCAAACGTTTCTATTTATTTCTGCACAACAAAATCACTTTTTTAACAAAATATAAAATAAATAACATTTAACAATACTAAGATAAAAGCATCCTGAGTGACCCGCTGAGTCACACACAGTTCTTTGTTCTGAAGTTTTTTTTTATCTTTGCCTCCACAGGCAGATACAGACATTTGTTCCCATGAAGCACTGGGCATAGCATCTCTTTACATTTTATCAGTCTTATTATTATTATTATTAGTTATTTTTTATATTTGCACCTGGGATTTTCTGCCTCTTCCTGAATTGACCAAGCAGCCCTGTGAGTTTCTGCAGCCAATCAGAAGCAGGCACCTGATTGGACATCAGACAGTGGTGAGGTCAAGGGTGAGAGGTCAAAGAGGTAAGCAGCAGCAGTGTCCAGGTAGGCCTACCTGGTGCGTGAGTGAATATTTGTATTATAGTGAGGCAGAATTGGCTCAGAATATTACACTGAAACAAACATATACTTGATCACTTCCCTACTGGATGATTCAACAGTGAGTTTATACTGTATTAGGGGGAAAATAGTTACTGATTGTTTTGTAGGGAATCATGCATTTGCCAATTTTTGTAATGTTAGCAAAATATTTCATAAATTCACTGAATAAAATTTATAGAAACTTTTTGAAAATGACCGTTTGTACCTCCACTACTAATTACTCTTGAGTCAACCCAATTCAAGATGGCCTCCACAGCTAATGGACCTTCGCCAACACAGAGTGCTTTAACTCAGTCAGTTTTACAAATATTAGGCAGAAGTTTGGCATCATAGTAGCTGAGCATCATCTCCAATTCTGTTAGCAAAATATCCCACGAACCACTGAATGGATTTGAAGGAAACCTTCAGATCAACAGCAAACTGACTTTGAAAAACAGAAGATGGAGGATAACTCAGCTGATTGTAGATAATGAGCTAAGGTCTAAACTTCTGCTCTGAACGAACTGATCATGTCGGATCTCACAGTATTAATCCATCTCTCCTCAACACAGGACGTCTAACATGAAAGGCAGCAGGCAACAAAGAATTCTTCCAGAACTGAAAGTTGACTTCTTCATTCCTTAATGCTAAATTTAATTTTTTTGTTTACATCCATAACCTGGACTTTTAAACAGGGAGGGGGGACTTTTTTTTCCACGGTAGGCGGTCCCAGATTATTACCCTCCCATACCATTCTTGACAAACCAGAACCTGACCSGACAGTGACACTATTGAAAACCTTCTTCCAGTACGCTATTTTGATAAGAGATAAGCTTCTCATTGAGTAATCCCTGTAAGTTTAGTAACAAATACTGTAAACAGGTTCTCCTGGGTTTTAGACACTTCAGGGCGGTCTCAGAGTTCTCCTCTTCTTGTTCGTAAATCAGTAGTCAGAAGAAGCGACGGCCTTCTGAGGAAATGATTCATGAAGCAAACCGAAGGGGATGATAGATTTTTTTCCAGGTGAAAAAACAGTTCAAAGAAACAGAATGGAGGGATGTGAAGGGATAAAAAGGGTGAAAGTCCTCCCTTCAGCTGGTTCTTTATGGTGACCAGATTGTAACGAGACGAGTTCAGCATGGCACGGGATGCATCCCAACGTATTCGAGTCTAATGCTGAGGAAGCAAATCAGTCTCACCAGGATCTGAACTTTAAAAGACAAAGAAATTAAGACCCATGGTTTTATGCAGTGAAAACGCATTTGAACTTTTAGCCTTTTAAGTTTCAACTCTTTCAATTATTAGTATGTCAATGTTATCTCTCCCTGTGAAAAAAAAAAATAAATCTGAATTTTTTTTGACTGTCTGAAAAAAAGAAAAACATGTTCTAAGTCCTAATTTTTAATTGGTCTATTTGAAGGTCGAACATTTGATATCTAGAAATTCAGTTTCAGGACTGAACGCAATGGCCTCAGCCAATCAATCCAAAGAAAAG